TTGCCTACATTGGATTTAGTACAATTAACAATTTCATCCGATTTTCTTACCGAAGTATTTCGTAAAGAAAATTCGGCAGAAGTACGCTTGGGTATATTACATTACTTTCTTTGTCATAAAAATGATCTGGATATTATTTCAGAATTAGTATGCTCGATTGCAGAGAAACCTAGATCGTTGGAAATTGTACGATACATGCAAGAAATTCTTATTGGCGGTTCATATGCCTTAGTACAAAAAAATTTATTAGCAGATGCTGTACCTTTATTGGCTTTACTACCCGTTACAACTATGGAAGAGTATATAAGTTTTGAAATAAAAGTCAATGATTTAAGTGTAACATTGAGTCATGAAAAACTTTGGAATACATCAGTAATGTTATTATCACCACAACAAAGATTGATTCCATATCGTAGTGATTTATGGACTAGATTATGGGATCAACTTAGTAAAAATAATGGAGATAAAACAAGATTTAAGCCAAGTAAAATTGCAGAAAAATTGTTAGTTTCTTTAGCATGTTATCAACCTGAAGCATTATCTAGATCCAGTACTCCAATGTCTCCAAGTGGAGGGTAATAATTTAGACAAATTTTTGTTTTATTTATTTAATTATATAAATGTAAAAACTTCTATATCATTAAATAAATTTATATTTTAATTTCAACATTTTTTTCTTAATTTTAACAATATAAATTTTATAAAATATGAAATAAAAATTAATTTCAATAAATAATATTACAGATTAGTTGTGACTACAGTGTCACTTGGAGATTTAACAAGTGGTCGTAACAATAAATTAATAGATTCTAATTTGCCATTTAATGAAATAGAAAGTTGTACTGCTTCTAAACAGGAGCATATTGTATCAGTAAATTTACGGGAATTATCGATGTATTTATTAAAACATGGTACTCAAACATCAATAACATATGTTAAGGGATCATGTACTCCATTACATGTTCATGCTATGGCAACCAGGCATGTAGCAGCGCAATTAGAAACGTCACGGACTCTTTGTCAAATGTTATGTCGAGCAGCTAATATTGATCCACGAATTGAACAAGAACGTGGTTTCATTCTTGTGTAAGTAAATCATTAATTATATATAAATTAATTATTTATATTTGATTATAAAATTTAAGATAATTATATAATTTTTCATTGAGAAATAATTTCAGTGATCAATTAGATGAAATAAAACGATGGTTATTATTCGTATTGTTGGAACGCTATAGACGTTCAATAGAGAGTATAGCATTTCCGGCACCGCAAGGATTTACATCATTTTTCACTTACCTTGGATATAGAACATTAAAATATTCCATGTTTTTACAATATGTACAACGATCAGTATTTGAATTACAAGTTGATGTCAGCAAAATTATCATGGCTGGTACATTTTTTAAAATAAAAATATATATTTTTTTAATTTTTTATATTTAAACTTTTGTTTAATCAATATTTTTTACAGATATCAGTGACACAAAAGAAAATGCCATTCGTAAATTAACTTTATTATCTTTATTACCAAAATCTCGAGCAAAAAGACTTTTAAATCAATGGTTACATCCTGTAAGTTTTATGTTAAGAGCTCGTGAACATGCTGCGAACATTTTATCTGGAGAAGTATGTCAAAATCGTGGTAGAACTTCGCAACATAAAAATCATCATAATGGTAAAAATAAATAATTAACTTGAAAAGTCAAATATTCATTAATAGTTCTTTTTTTTAAATAAATTGTATATAGGCTTAGCGGCATTTCCTTCAGCAGATCGTTTATCTCCTTTAGATACATTCCTTGATCTTCTTACAGCAAAAGGTATAAATTTAAATTTATTAAATCATATAAATTATTTTGATCATTTATTGATTTTATTTTTCAGCTAGTTTAACTGAATTAGATTTTGGTCTACTTATAGAAGCTACAATAACATCTACCGAAGATTTTTTATAAATATTTTAATTTTTTTAATTTATTTGTATGTAGTTGAAAACGTATGCGCAAATGATTATTCGAAATGCGCAAAGTGCCATTAATATCTTCCATCATATATATATATATAATATATAT